TGCAGGTGGGTGCAGCTTAGGCCTCCATGGGCTGCTGGGGGACAGCCGGCCTCACCATGGGCTGCACCAGGGGCTGGCGGGGAATCTCTGCTCTGGGCCTGCAACAGCTCCTCCTCCTGCAGCACTCACCCAGGGGCTGCAGGGCTGCTCACACGATGCAGTCTCACTCCTCTCTCCCAGCTGCAGTTACCGTTGCATGTTTTTTTTCTCCCCCTTCTCAACTCTGTTATCCCTAAGGCGCTACCTCCATTGCTGATGGGCTGGGCCTTGGCCAGCAGTGGGTCTGTCTTGGAGCTGGCTGGTGTTGGCTCCGTCAGACACAGAGAGAACTTCTGGCAGCTTCTCACAAAAGCCACCCCTGTAGTTCCCCTGCAACCAAAACCTTGCCACGCAAACCCAATACAGGCTTCTTCAAAACAAGAAGCTCTCCCCTCTGCTTTTCTCCAGGGTGGAACAGGTAGCTCTGCGCTGTTTTTCCATTTCTTCATACCTAGTGCTTGTCCTACATAGTAATGTTTTGATTAAAATTTTCTTCTCTTCTGTAGGTTGTAAGCTCTTAATTCTTGGAAGAATGCCAAAGCTAACCAGAGCAAACAGAATGATCATCAATTATACTGATCCTGTGTTCTCTGTGGCCAAAGTTAGTTTTATCTGATTTAGCTGTTCTTGCAAGATGAACCTCCTTTAACAAGAAGGGTGGAAATTTCTCTTTGCCAGTCTGATTGATAGCAGTGCTGCAGAAAGGTAGAAAATAGAAATTGAAGTAGTTTCCCACAGCAGAAAATTGAATCTGGAGCTCTACTTTTTGAGAAGGCAAATGCTTTAACTTATGAGTTATTATACAAAACAGGTGCTGCAGGCAGCACTGCTTTCTTTTTTCGGACAAGAAGTTTAAAAAAGAAAGAAAAGTTGCATAAATAGCCGGAATGGATTTCACATGCAAATCTACAGTTTACTGCACTTTTGAGTAAAGCACCTGAAGCTGGAAGGATGTGGATTTGAAGGCAACATCCTATTCCATATTTCACTTGTGACAAGCTGTGGGCAACTTTCTATTTAGCACGGTTGTTTGGTAGCCTGCACTCTATGGTGCCTGTATTCTCCAATATATAAGGAGTCAAGAAGTAAAAGACTAGATTCCTAGATGAGAGCAGGGGGGAGGACGACTGACAGCTAATCATAAAGGATAGTAACCTAGATTTTGTGGTACCAAGTCCTTTGAATTCGGTATGAAGAATAATCTATGTTCTACAAATTTTGCCTTCCTTGTACTCATTGAAACAGTATACTACTGCTTCATCTTGTAGTAGACAATTAACATGCTTTGGATCCTATTTGACTACTACTTCACCTTGCTTTGTGAATTTGTCTTTTCACAGTACTACTGTAAACTTAATGAATAGGGTCCAGAAAATTAACATAATTATCCACCTAACTGGTGAAGGGCTGGTCGGTATGGCCTGTGAGGAGTGGCTGAGGACTCTGGGTTTGTCTTGTTTGGACAAAAGGAGGCTGAGGGGTGACCTCACTGCTCTCTGGCTGCTTCCTGAGGAGGGGATGTGGAGAGGGAGGTGCTGAGCTCTGCTCCTGGGTATCTGGTGACAGAATGCATGGAAACAGTTCAAAGCTGCATCAGGGGAGGTTTGAACTTGACATGAGGAAGCATTTCTTTACCAAGCCGGTGGTCAAACACTGGAACAGGCTTCCTGGAGAGGTAGACGATTCCCCAAGCTTCTCAGTGTTTAAGAAGCATTTGGTCTGTGCTCTTAATAACATGCTTTCACTTTTGGTCAGCCCTGAAGTGCTCAGACGAGTGGACTAGGTGATCGTTGTAGGTCCCTTCCAACTGAAATGTTCTGTTCTGTGAAGGTAACGTTTTCCTAGAGTCATTGTTTGTTGCACTCCTAATTATTTCTTATTTCAGCTTTTGACTGCATTTGAACACGCAGTGAGCTCTGCTGACACTATTCCTGGTGAAGACCACCAAAATCTTTACAAGGACTTTATTCAGTGCTTGTCAAAAGTAAGGTTGTGTTAATCTATCTTCATCAGTGAATACATGTAATATTCCACATCTGATAATTCTCGCAAATAACTATTTCTTTTTTTCCTTTCAAGTTTCCTCATGAAACAGCTAGGTTGGAAAAAGCCTGTAATGATATGATGGCTTTGTATCCTACTGTGAGTTATCCTTTAGAAGTACTTTGCTTGCACTTCATTCAGTCAGGTGAGTAGGACGGATTTGGGGGGCTTAAATTAGTTCTTTTATAGTTAGTTTTGTGACAATTTTTTAAGACGTTTTTACCCTTCACGACCCAGTACAAGTACACTATTTACTTGTATGTTGTATTTCTGCCTGTCTGTAAATGAAAAGTGTTTGGTTCTATGATTTACTGTTTCCTAGCTCTGTAACTGAGTGGTGATTGTAAATTGGCAAAAAACTTCCACGGGTTCAGTCCAGCTCTGGCAGTGTACAAAGTCGCAAAGAAAGAATGCCTTACAAAGCTCAAAAGTGGCCTCTACAGATAAATGAAGGTTAGCTTCTTAAGCTTAGAGGAGGGAATGGAGAATGTTAACCAGTGCTCTAAGGCTGAGGACAGGCTACACTTAGGTTATTGTTGACAAGGAAAATCTCTCTTGATGAAAAAAACAAACAAACATTTGCAAAACTTTCTTCAAAAGGATGCCTAGTGAATAGGGAATAAACAGATCTATTTAGATATTTGTTCTAAGTAGAAAAGGAGAATCTCTGAGGAAAAAAAATACCATGGTATGTTCAATAGTGCTGGGATCTGAAAGTATACAATTGCTATTTTCAGTAGTTCACTAGACAGCGTTGCAATAATGTTGGAGACTTTCTCAGCATTTTCAAAATAACTACTAAATTTTGACCTTTCTTTTTATTGTTTAAGGCATCAGAAGTTGATTTTTTTTCTTTTTAAAACAAGGGAAGAAAATCAGGGGAAAAAAACTCTCTGGTTTATATAAAGAGAAATAACTTTCAGCTTAGGTAGAGGGATACGTTTTCCAGTTTTGACGGTAGGCTTCATGGAATAATGTAGGAAAATAAGAGAGCATTTTTCACTTTGGTTGGAAAGGATGAAGGCAAATGAGGCCCAGACTCTCATTTCCACATGAGAATGCTTTCCGTTTCGGAGAAACATGCAGAAACTAATTTCCAAAGGAAAAGGAACATCTGATTGGCACAGTTTTTATATAGCAATGCCTTGGCAACACTGCACCATCCCACAGCCATCGTGGAGTGGGGAGGATGATGCTTAGGTTTTAGTAAGGCTATTTGTTTATATCTGAGTCGTTCCAACCATGTCATAGTCCTTCATGCCCCACTCTTGTGGGCTTGTAACTCAGATACATTATTAGTCACCTTTACCAAACGCAAATCAAAGGCAACCTTTATGTCAAATGCGTCCATATTTTTTTAAAGAAAATAGTAGTTCAAAGACTGTTGCTGCAAGTCACAACTGTTGGTTTAAGCAAGGACTGCCAAGTCTACAATCACAGCTAAACACAAGCATAAAAAGTTAATGGCATCAGTTAAAATTAGGCCAAGACATTAAATTACATGGTTTCACAGCAAGACTGTTTCAGCAAACTCATCACAGCAAATTAGTAGCTACACAAGGGCTGCTGTGGAAGGAAATTATTTTGATTTATTTGTGGCAGATTCTGACAGGTGGACGTTCCACTGGGCTTACATTAAAAGAGTGTGAAGGAATTAGTTTTTATTAATAAAGGAAGTATACCTGTAGTAATTTAACACAAGTGGTTAAAAATTCATGTTTCAGACTGACAGTTTATTTTGTTTGGTGGTACTGTGTATTTAAGATTACTGCTTGTTTTTTGGGTTTGATTTTGGGGATGGAGGGTGATAGGTATGTAGTACCTTTGGAAAAAAGTTTAGTTAATAAATTCATTACTTTGAGCTGAAAGGATAAGGGTCATATTTATGTAGATAAGGTAGTCTGTTGCATTTTGTAATTCTAAAACTCTATAAAATATTTCTTTTTCTGAAACCAGGTGCTTTGTCAGAAGAGGCCCTGTGCTATTTTTCTAGGCTTTTGGAGATGGACGCAAGTAGTGGTCCAGGCATCATTGGTTTTGGTATAAAGTGCCTCCAAGAAAGGAAATACAAGGAGGCTGCTAAGAGTCTTACTGAAGGTAAATGTGTAATATAAGGTGTAGGTAGTCTGTAACTTGAACACCAGTTAGTTTATACTGTATATTTTGGGAATCTTATACTTGCATAGTACTTTGCCAGTTCTAAGCCCAGCTAGATTTTAAAAGAATACTCAACAATTTCTCTGATTAGATGTTGACAATTTTTTAAATACAGCTTTAAGTATAACATCTCTGAAGTCTTGTCATTGCTGTTATATTCAGCTCTGTAGTATTTTAGAGTGATCAACCTTAAACTTTTTTTAATCTGACTGTTAGTGGGGAAATACCTAGATGAAGCAGTAAATACAGCAATAGCAATGAAAGAATGTGGAATTTATAAAGTAAAATATAATGCAGCTTCTCTAATCTAGTCACTGCATTTCTATACCTGAACGAAGATGACTTCACTTTAAAGTTACATCATTTTAAGACCTCTTTAACGCTTACACTGGGTAAATGCTTAAGTTGAGTAGCTAAACAGAAGTATCAGGGGGGTTGTTTGTTTGTTTTTTACAGTAGCCAGATTTGCTGAAGAGTTGGCTTACTAATCTGTGATTATCTTGCTTGTATTGAAATGGCAAAGTTCTTTGAAAATTATTCGTAAGTATACTAGTGGGAAAATAGGACTCTCTACTCCCAATGAGCTGGCCATGTCAAATTGAAAACAGCTTATTGAGAAAGCTGAGTAAATAAGCCTTTGGGATCTACGCAACCATGAGTCAGTCAGGCTATGCTGTGATATTCTGCATCCTTTCACTCAGGTTTAGAATAAGATTGTTTCTGAAATGGGATTTTGGAATATTCTACAGTAATTTACCCACGGTGAAATAACATGTCATACCTGAAATCTGAAATGAAGAATTTCAGTTACTTAAGAGGAAAAAGTATTCCATGGAAAGCAAATTCTTCTGGCTTAAATGGCCATGGATATTTTGACAAAACATACGTCTTGTTTTTAGCAGAAGATATATGTCCCAAATAATTTTATTTATTTATTTTTACTTTTACGTGTAATACACTGCTCGTGAAGGGGAGAATGCAAAGGGCGAGGCTCTTGGTATAATGTGTAAATTTATAAAGCTTGGAAATAATGTCTTTCGCAGTAAGCCAAGTGTTTGCATCACAGGCAATGAAGCTTCAAGACATTATGTAGTAATAATATATATATATATATCTCAGAAGACTCAAATCAGTTTTATTACTGAATCTTTAATTAAGGCAAGTTTATCAGGAAGTTTCAGTGAAATGCTCTTGGCATCATTTTTTTGCTGTCGTGAACTTCTGTAACGCTTTTCTGATTTCTAAGAAAAACTTTACAAAATAGTCCACAGGCTGCTGAAGTTGATGTCTGATCAAAATGAAGGACTTTTTTCTTCTTGAAACAAAAGTGCACCTTAAGCCACTGTTGTATATTTCCTCACTTTTCCTTCTTTTTCTTTTCTGTATATGTAATGATATATGCAAAATTAAGCCTAACAGAAGCTTATGTGGTTCTTAGTCTTTTCCTTGCTGCGTGGTGACCTGTTTGTCTGAAACAGTTTAAAATAAGACTCAAAGAAAAATTAACTGCAAGTCTTATTATCTGATTAATAATGATTTTGATGGCATTATATGGTAATACAGCATCTGCAGCCTTAAGCCACTTTTTTTTAGTGTGTTTTTTTAAACTCTTCTTTTATTAGGTTTGCAGAAGACTAGCCAGTGTCCAGCAGCATGGTGTTATTTGGCAGAGGCACAGATGAAAATTCACAAACACAGAGACGCTGTCCTGTCCTGCAATCAAGGTAACTGCCTGCTAATTGAAAGAGCAACTGCAGGGGTGCACCAGTTTATGTAGTCCAGCCAATGTGACCTTTGCATAGTAGGCCTGAGTTAGCAGCATAGTCCTTTGCTTTTTGCAGTCTCACCGCTTGCGCTGGTGTCCCCTGCTGCTCTTGGTTTATGATAGCTGAAAAGCACCTTGTGCTGCTTAGTCTCAGGAAAAAAGAGAAAATACTTGGCTAATCAGAACCAGAAAACTGTCTGATGGTTAATATTTAGAAGATTTCCATGTTCTGTGCTTCTTCAGCTGGTGGTTGACCAACTCTGCCAATCAGCAGATAATTGCCTGAAACCAGAAGGGTAGTTGTCACAAATTTTTAGTCTGGTAGACTTTGTGTTTAGACTTACAAGATTTTAATCAAGTTAATGTAAAATGCAGAAATGTGGCATAGTACAACTTCATCTTAAGAAACTTCACTGAGTGTAAATCTTCATCTGTGCTAACTGGGAATGAAAGCAGTTATTATGATCTAGTGATGCATATCTAATCTGAATAGAGCCATTATCTGATGGTTATAAATGAAAGGGCAGCCAAAGTGGACTTTTTCCTGACTGGGACAAATGCAATGAAAAATTTTTCAAGAAAGACTTGAAGAGGTAAAAGTATGCGGACCTGGCTAAACAGTCATGGGAAATTATTAAAAGCAAGAGGAAGCACTTGCTAGTGAGGGATATTCAAAAAGCCTATAAATTTGGATAGAGGAAATGTGTAGACAGAGCGGAGTAGGTAAAAAGAAAGTTATTGCAGAAAGAATGAAAATGAGGTGATTCTTTTCCCATCTGTGTTCAGTGTGGAAGAGCTCAGGGTGACTTCTACACCATGACCTGTCTTTTCAGGGGACGCACCAAACAACTTGTCTGTGATTATAGCATTAATAGAAGTGGCTATAAAACAAGACAAGAAAGATCAGCATTAAGGAACTATGAGATACTGACCTAGGAATTGACTGAGTAACCCAAAGATGAAATTGTTGAAGTACTAAGGGGTTTGTGTAATTGCTTGCTTAAACTGCCTTGGCACCTGAATGCTTGGAGGTAGGTAGCATGACCCTGACTTTTAAAAAGGGTTCTAGGAAAGATCAGGGAAACCACCAAGTCTGGTATGTTTAGTGGTTGAATTATTTAAAATTGAAAGAACGGAGTTAGGGAATTTATGCAGAAAAATTATTCTGGGGGATAGACAGCATGGCTTTTGTAAAGTTAAGTTGTTTTTTTTAGGATTCCTTGAAGGAGTTTACGAGCACATAGATAAGGGAGATGTGACATAGTCTTCTCTGATTTCTAGGTGGTAATTGATAAGATTTTTTGCAGATTGTTGAGGAAACTAAGCAGCCTTGGGTTAAGAAGTAGAGTTGTAGCATTGAATGGTTTTCGTCAGTTTTAAATAGGTTAAAAGCTGGAGCACAGTATAGTAATAATGTCTGCTTCCATGCTGGAAGGAGATGTCCCTGACATTTTCAACGATACCCGTGTTGTTCACCCTCTTTTCTAGTCGTTTATGAATGTTGAGTAATAAGGTTATAAAGTTTGCTGCTATTCAAAGGAGACTGCAAAACTCTAAGAGGAGATTACCAGAGTGGGTAACTAGGTGTTCAAACAATGAATAAAATTCCATAGTCTGAAATGCAAAATGATGTAGTTGTGGGAAGATATGTTCCCACAAAGCTATCCTGCAGTCTTGTTGAAGTAAAGAGCAGAAAGTTCCTCATTTTGTATGAAAACATAGGACTGTTTCTTTCCCCTTCTATGCTTTACAAGCAAGTCAAATATTAGGAATTATCAGGAAGGGAATGAGTAGTAAAACAGAGCACCAACATGCAGTTGCTGTAAGAAATTTAGCAGCATAGTGAAATCTGTATGCAGATTTCTGTACCAGTTTTGGTACCCATTCACCCCTTCTCAAAAAGAAAATAAAGTAGAAGTTAATAGACTCGGAACAAGGATGATCAAATGTATGGAAAATGCTATGAGAACAAGTAAATAGCTTGTGAAGTCCTTTTTCAGCCTGGAGAAGAGACAGTTTTGAAATCTGTGAAGTTGCAAGTGATGTGGAAGATAAATAAAGATCAAGTGTTTTCTTGTCCTATGTGAGGTTAGTTAGTACCAAACGAAACTGAAAGCTAGCAGGCTCAGAAGAAATAAAATAGATTTTGTTTCTTAGTGCAAGGTGTAAATGAAGCTATTGTGCCTTGCTAAAAGATGCTGTTGATGCAGAAAGTTCCCTTGAGTCCAAAGAATGTGTGGAAAGTCAGAGAGAATTCTGGGGAAGCATTGCTTTGTGCTTGACCTGTCTTACCGGCTGTATAAAGTCAGGCAAAAGTTCATCATATGTGAAAATAAATGTAGTTAATTGAGTTATTCAGAAAGTTCTTGCGTTTGGAGAATGCTGAAGCTCAAGAGATGTCCTCATTCTCTGAGGTGAGATTATACGATGTGTTGGAGAAGTAATCAATTCTGCATAGTGAGGTACAAAGTTACCTTTGCACAGGCACAGAGTTAAATACCTGGTTTCAGTAATACTTTTTTTCTTTCAACACTGAAGTGTAAAACGACTTGTTTAATGAAAGGTCATTGTTTCTTCAAAACATTAAGTGGGGCTCTATTAGACTGAAAAATTGTAATTAACAAGACTTAGAAAATACTGGGAACAGTGGTGCTCTTTGTAGTTCGTTTTTCTATTTTTAGTTGACGAAACTTTTCCCCTGTCAACAGCTCTTGAGGCTCTTGGAACTCCTGAGGGTCCTAGTCTTCGGTGGAAGAACCTTATCCTTAAGGTGAAAGCAGAGGCGTTGATTAAACTAGCTGATGCTGATGCTGCAGAAGAAGCCATTAAAGCACTTGAGCAGGTATTTTCATTGACTAAAATGTATTTTATTTTTTTTTTTATTTTAAAAAGTTCTCTCATCTTTCTGTTCTAAAAGTTCAAACTGTGTATTTCTCCCCTTGCCTCCTTTTTAAATTCTTTGTGGTTTAGACAACTCCTACCAACTATGGTCTAATCCGAACATCCTTCCTTTTCTGGTTTTTTTGGGCTTTGCTACAACTGTTTTTTGCTCACAGTTCTAATTTTAGGAGCTGCTGCTTTTGATCTTGTCTGGTTTTGCTCAGTGGCTGTTGTTCATCTTCATTTGAATTATTGTTACAGTCCTATTCCCATGTCTTTCATTCCCTTGCCTGTAGTCATGAACAAGAGCATATTACTTTAAGATCAAATGATTAAGCTTTAAGCAGAAGTTGCGTCCCCTCTTTTTTGTCTCCCAGTTCCATTCTTCGCTGTTTAGACTTCTGTACCTTTGTCCTTGTTCTCTATAATCTTCCACCTCCATCAAAATTATTCTGTTTAAGCTTCTCAAGGGTATTCTATCTAAATGTCTTCTTGTCTTTATCTTCATGCACTCTGCCTGCTTTTGACACCTTTTATTTCTTAATATGGGGAGAGAATAACTTGGTCGTGTCTATTACTTGGTTTTCTAGATTGTGGATGCAAGCAGTGATCCAGTGGTTTTAGCTATCAGAGGTCAGGCTTATCTAAACAAAGGTTTAATGGATCAAGCTTCAAAGGTTAGTGCTGTATTGTCGTTCCTGTAAGCTAAGTTGAATTCTTGGTTTCATAGAGGAAATAACTAGGGAAGAATGACATCCTTTTGCAGATTTCACAAGAGCTTCTGTTGTCCCACCCTGATCTGGCCGAGTCCCATGCTTTAGAGGGTTTCATCCATTATTCCCAAAAGAACTATGAGCAGGCAGAAAGAAGGTAGATTTGTTTTTTTTCTTTCCTCTAACAGGGAAATGTTGGGGGGAGAAAAGAATATAGTGTTTTGCAGCTTTTGAGAATTTGTCTGATCTGACCTCTGTTCCCTTTATTTAGTTTTCTAAATGCCATTGAAAGAAAGGTGGAAACTGCGGAGTATCATCAGTACCTGGGGCTCACGTACTGGTTCATGAGTGATGAGACAAAAAAAGACAGACGAAAAGCACTCACTCAGTTCTTGAAGGTAAAGGCTTCTTTAACTATTGATGTAGAGTTAGTGTTTTTCTATACCAAAAACCAAATTTGGAAAATACACTGGCTGGAATGACAGACTTGAATATTCTGCTTGTTACCATTTACAAGCCTCTAGAGCCCGTAAACCAAGTTCAGTTCTGCAGAAAGGCATTGCAGAGAGCTGTGCAGTTACCTGGAATCTCCCTGCTTTTGTTTTCCCCTTTTCACCTAATTCTTGAGGCCTTTGATTTAACCAGAGGTAGTGGTGATTGTCTCAGTCTTCTGTCATTGAGGGCTGTAAAGTCTTGCCCTCTAGATGACCGGTGTAGATCTTCGAAAACATTTTGACATGGGGAGGGCAAAGTTCAAATTGGAAAAAAAAGTGAAGTAGGAAAAAAGATGAGAATGGTGTTAGAATTTCAGTGTCTGCCCAAGGAATTAAGTCTGCAAAACCTCACAATTTATATACTTTTCCTCATTTTGGTTTTTTGGTGGTTGTGGCTTTTTCCCTAGATAGGAGCGTGAATCCAAAAGATTTAGTCTGATATCTGTATTGAGAACATGGAAGTATACAGAATAAGACTCTAGACATTGTAAACTCACCATAGAACTTCATGATAGGTGTTGGCAACTCAAGTCATTGCCTACTGTTTGCACTTCAGTAACAGCAAAGTATACTGGAGAATGTAGTTGAAGTGAACAATACTTTTGGTTCTAAACCATTTTATGTGAGCTTTTTTCATTATTGTCAAAGCTGTTTTCTGCTTCTTGAGGACTGTGGGTTTCTTTAGTATAAAAAAACCTGCCAACTGTATCTAAAAAGGAGCTTAAACTTTAGAAAAGGTTGGAGTTAGTTGTGCTGCAGTATGGTAAGAGTCTAAGCATAATGACTGAAATGGAATAGAATATGAAAATGATGGGATATAGTAAGGAATTGTTTTCTCCTAGCAGAACTAACTTAGTAGTGCTTCAGGTAAAAAATGCCTTGTGCCATGAGGTTTGTAGCAGATCCTGCAAATATTTAAAGCTCAGGTAATCTCTGAAATCTTAAAATAAAGTTTGACTATTCAGATCTATCACAAGGAGCTTAAATAAGTTGATAAGCAGACATTGAACAAGTAGGTATCACTGGACCTGTCCGTCAGTATAATCCTTCAAAATACTGTCTTATATTGTGTTCATATTTCCTTATAGGCTGCAAAATTGGACAGCTACTTGGGAAGTGTCTTTTGTTATTTAGGTAGCTACTACAGAGACATTGATGGAGACAAAAGTAGAGCTCGTGGTTGCTATAAAAAGGCTTTTGAACTGGATGGAACCGATGAAGAATCTGGAATAGCAGCTGTAGACTTAAGTGTGGAACTTGGAGACATGGTATTGTATATTCAGGGCTTTAGATTAACACTGTTTTGGTTTTTTGTTAATCCTGCTCTTTGAGAAATTACAAATACAGGTTTCCTCTGTATTTGAGAATAAGATCTGAAAACAGATGTTCTGTCATTGCTTAGCAGCTTCGTAGTTGGACCTACTTGAATTTTATGCTTCAATTCCAAGTTAAATCTCTCTGGGGAGAAGGGTAGGGGAACCAAGCATCATAACACTGTGGTCATCACATATGTGATTTAGATGAAGGATTTCTTTCAGTAGGGAATATGAAGAGAAAGATAGTTTTCTTTTCATATTTAACTTGTGCTGCTTATTTTCTCCATCATCCACCTTGCTGCTTTCAGGAAAAGCATACAAAGTCATCAGAACGTTTAAAAAATATTTCTTCTATAGCATTGTATAAAAAGTTCTTAGCATATGATATTACAGAGTAAGAAAGTGACCCATACTCTGACAGACTCCATTTGAACATCTGGAAAGTCAGTCTTAAGTATCTGACTTGCTGCAAGTACTTGTATTGTTCTCTAGTTTAAAAAAAAAATAATTAAAAAAATAGCTTCTACAAAACTGCAGGAAGCTATTGTCTATTTGCAAAGATGGGTTGACAAGAAATAACCACTTCTTTAGATGTGATAATTTCCTCCTCTAATCTGCCACTCAACCTGCCATCTTTAAAAAGCCCCTGTAACATTTCTTCATTACAGTAATTAACAGATTAGACATTTAATGGTTTGCTGGATTAGGAGTATTCTTCTTTAGCTAGAACTTTGTTCTTTACACATACATGTTTACTAAGCTGGCATTTTTGGTGCTTTGTTAGGACACTGCTCTGTCAATCCTGAATGAGGTAACTGAAAAAGCGAGTACTGGTACAGCAAAATGGGCCTGGCTTCATCGTGGACTTTACTACCTGAGAACTGGTCAGCCGTCACAAGCAGTGGCTGAGTAAGAGAACTGGTGGTCGGTTTAAGTAATTTTCTAAAAATCTTAATAAAACAGTCCTTGATCTTAGCAAGTTTTGAAAATAAGTTAGCTGATTATGGGATGGCTTGTACTAAGCAATAGGAAATGGATCTGAGCAAGTTGTGTCTATCTTCAGTTCCAGAATTAGCACAATGTAGTCTTTTCAGTATAGCAGTGTTCTGTACTAACAAGCCTGGTGACCGGCATAGGCAACCACGGTATAGCACTGAATAACAAGCCAAGATTAGGTACAATGTCTAAACTTGCATAATGTGCTCTGAAGATGAAAACAGTACTATGCTGTGTTTAAAAGTTGTGTATAATCGTGTGTTTGTGTCCTGAGAATATGTAATGCAAGGAAATAATTTGTTTGTGTTAACTTGTATCACCTTTTATTTAAGTAACTTGATATCTTGATATCTTCAGTTTGCAGGCAGCCGTCAGGGCTGATCCAAAGGATTCCAACTGCTGGGAGTCTCTAGGGGAGGCTTACTTGAGCAGAGGTAGCTATTCAACAGCTCTAAAATCCTTCAGGAAAGCAAGTGAGCTGAACCCAGGGCTTGTGTACAGCATTTACAGAGCTGCAGCAGTTGAGCAGATTCTAGGCAAATATGAAAATGCTATAGCTACCTATCAACAAATCTTAAAGAAGACAGAAGACTATGTGCCTGCCCTGAAAGGTAATGTGTCTGAATTTGACAGTGTTAACTCTTTCTTCCTTTACACACCGTAATGCTTCAGTCTTGTGGAGTGTGGAGAGATGCTTGGTGTATTGGGGTTTTCCTGCATCCTGAGCATTGGATTTTGGCTAAGTAGAGCAGTGTGATTCCCTGCATGAAATTTAGTGTGTAGTAGCCTGCAAATATCTGAAGAGCTTTTAAATCACGATGCACGGGAATGATTATTTCTCTTTCAAGTTAGTATGAAAGGTAATTATTCCTGTGTAGCTACCAGGCCAAAAGGGTAGGAGAATTGAAGATAGACAGAGGAAGCCAGCCAGAGATGCAGCAGTTTCACCTAAGCAGTCAAACACTGGCTCAACAGGCAATGGAGTCAGGCTGCTGTTTCAAAGAGGTGGTCTATACTAATTTTCTGCTGTTGCTGACCATACATTCCTCACTCTCTGTGTTAGCCTTGGTGATTCAAACCCCTCTGAGCTTCTTCAAGTGATGAAGAATAGCGGTGAAGTATTCCAAGAGGTCTCAGAAGTGGCGATAGGTAGAGATCTTCAGTATATAGCTGGGAACAGAGAGAAATGGGGGAACTGGAACTCCTTTCTGGTGATTCCCAAGATACATAATATTGGGAGCATATAACGTTTTGATAGCCAATGAACAGCTTTCAGTTCACATTCTCACTGCCACTTAGTCTTCAGTCGTTCTCACTCCATACATCCATGTGAAATAGATGCTGTTTGCTGCTTGATACTAGCACGAATTTTTAAGTTAGAGAGTGTTCTTTTGTTGTGTGTAAGGCCTTTTAATTTTCACATGAGTGTAAGCTAATTCTTGTAAGACTAAGTCAGAAGTATTGGTTTACTATTGCAATAGCAAGTTTTTCATCTGAAAGGGCTACAGAGTGGTTGTCCTTCTACCTCCTCCTGTGTAATTTTGTCACTTAGAGTTTACCAGACTAAAGTGACATGGCAAAAGCTCCATGATAGAGTTTGAAAGTATTGCAGATAGGCGGTTTTACCAGTTGTCAGACAAGAAGGCAACAGCTGACTGCAGGAGCAGTTTGCAAAGATGTTGTATAGAAGTGTGCATGTGTATATGGCTTTTCTAGTGTGTGTAGGTGACAGTTGAAAGCATTACCTGGAATAAAATACATAGAGAGGACATAAGCACACAGTGTCAAGGTTTCCCCCCTATAGTTGCCTCTATATTCATTATTTTCTTAACTCTCTTAAGCCTTCTCTCATAATCCCACTCATCCTAATTTCTGATTTGTTAGCTCCAGATCCTTCTTTGAGCTTCAAAACAATCTTCACCTTCTTAGAGACTGTTTAATGTTTTGTCTGGTATGCTGTCTTTTGTGGGCCTTCTTAAAACTCTCTGAAACATACAGCAGTGTTCTTTTGGAAGTGTTCTGATCAGTTTAGACAGTTTCTGAATTGAGTTGTTGGAAACAGTCTCCTAGTAGTGAGAGGATAACTATATGGATGTTACTCGAATGCATCTTTCCGATGTATTTTATTTTTCTGTTACTAAATGGTATATTTATTCTTCCTCTGCTCCAGCATATCTTTTAATGTGTAACTTTCGGGAATAAAGTGAATTTTGATTTTAGATTACAGAACTTCTTGACATCTGAGAAGCTCGTGATCTTGGGACTTCTCTGTGGTCAAAACAAAGTGGGGGGCAAGATAAAGATGCTTGCAAAACATGACTATTGTGATTAGTAGTTTGGTATAGGTACAGAGTACAATAGCATGAGAAAGGTAGCTTCAGAAATGTGAAAATAATACTGAGAATGAATGGTACTCATAGCCAGTGACTTGCTGCCAGACAGAATCGCTGCTGATGCCAGCAAGAGTATAAACCAAGCAGTTATCTTGTTGGTTCCAAAATGCTAGAAATTGTGGCATTAGATGCAGTTCCTTTTTAACAGTCGGATTTATTTCCATATGTGGTGCGTTGACCTTGGCTGGACGCCAGTTGCCGACCAAACAACTCTATCACTCCCCTCCTCAGCAGCTCAGCAGGACCAGGAGGGGAGAAAATAAGAATGAAAAAACTCGTGGGTCAAGATAAAGGCAGTTTAATAAAGCAAAAGCAAAGGCCATGCATAGAAGCAAAGGAAAAAATATTTATTCTGTACTTCCCATCAGCAGGCAATGTCCAGCTGCTACCTGGGAAGTAGGGCTGCAGTACATGTAGCAGTTGCTCTGAAAGACAAATGTCATAATAAGAAATGTACCCCCCCTCCCCTTTCTCTTAGCTGTTATTGCTGAGGAGATGCCATATGGTATGGTATACCCCTTTGGTCCCTTCGGGTCCGCTGTCCTGGCTATGTCTCCCAAGATCTTGCCCACCCCCAGCCTGCTGGTGAGGAGGGGAATGTTGGAGAGACAGCCTTGACGCTGTGAGCACTGCTCAGCAGTAGCCAAAGCACTGAGGTGTTATCAGCACGTTTCTAGTTACTAGTGCAAAGCACAGCACTGCCAGGGCTGCTTTGGGAAAAACTAACTCCATCTCAGCCAGACTCAATACACCATATGAAGTAAATTCTTACATAAATAGGATTAAATAATATTGGTTTCAAGTTTCATTCAAAGAAGACTTCCCCTTTGCCTACTTTGACATTCTTTCTTCTTTTTGTGTTTTGGCAATCAGTTTTGACTCGTGTGTGAACTGAAAGTTGTTGTATTTGTCAAAGACTTACCAGTGCAGGGCAGATTTCTCATGAGGGCTTTACTTAATACTTGAGGACAAACCCAAAGCTTAAATGCTATGGGTTTTATAACTAATTAGGTTCATTTTAATATTCAAATTATCCTACAGTTCACACTTGACAGGATAGGTTTAGAAACAAAGTCTCTGTTGTGAGCACTGTGAGTCTTTTGATTTTGGCATAACCTGTGCAGGATATAAATCTTTATGTCAAGCAGAACACTGAGCAAGCTTCCACCATCCCACTCCACCTCCTTTATCGAGCATATCATAAAAGCATCTCTTTTCATAGAGGATATTTTCTCTTATTTTCAGGACTTGGTGAGTGCTATCTCATGCTGGCAAGATCAGCCCTTGATAACTATCTTGATAGGAAGGCTGTGGATTACATAGAGCAGGCTCTTGAATTTTTTACAAGGTTAGTACTAAATATTCTGTTGTTTAATTTCCACTGGGATTGTGGGTTGACAGGCAGAAGAATAAGAGTTAAGTGTTTGAGGATTTTCAGTTAAACTAAATGGAATGGACCAGGCTTCTAATCTAGAAGTACCAGTGTGCTTATTGAAAATGGTTTGAATAATACATTCTGGACTTAGGCTGCTTAAATGAATGGTAATTACGGAGTTTTGGTTTTTTCTCTTCAAAGACACAGAGTCATTTGATTATAAGACAAGTGTGAAATGACACACAGTTCTCCGCAGCAGTCCTCCTGTATATATGGGGCTGGGAGGAAGGGATTTCTACCAGAGATGGTGGACAAGAGGAAGTTGTTCCTTCCCTCCCTCAATCTTTTTGTTTTGCTTTTCATACAAATTGCTTTAGTATCCTAAATTAAACCTTGGGATAGCTGCTGTTATAGGAGAAGGTCCATCAGGTTTCTGCAGATGAATCATGTCTTCTAACACAACATAATAGTGCTCTGAAATGCAAGAATGGGTGTAGTCAGCTGACATGTTGACAGATAATGGCTGATTTTCACAACTGACTCTTAGTCCCAACAAAGTTGGGATACGTTGGCATTTTGTAGTTTCTCTTTTTTTGGTTATTTTTGACCTTTTAGACCTATAGCTTGAATAGGAAGAAAACCGAATTGAAAAAAAAAAAATCAAACAGCTCATTGACTAATTACATTTAACTTTGTACCACTCTTCAAAGTGGTGAACTATCTTTCAGAAAAGGATATTGAAGTGTCTGAATGCGTGTTGTGTGGGTTTTCTGTATCATTAATTACAGGGCAACAAAGCACCGACCTGATGTATCTTGCCTCTGGAAACTTCTTGGAGATACCTGTACTAGTGTGCATGTTATTTCACCAACCAAAGTGAATGTTCAAGTTTTAGGATCCCTTCTGGGTAAAAACGCAGGCAAACAGATGCTGAAGAAAAGTGAGCTGCTCAGACTGGGAGGAAGGTAATGATTTTTTTATTATCAAGAGTGTCTATACAGTTTGAGACTCTATAGAGTCTCAAGTATTCTAGGCTATTTCATTTCTAGAAAATCTGTTGACACCTGCATATTGCGCAAAGATTAATGAGGTGGTAAATAGAGTCTCATTCTTCTTCCAAATTACACTACTGGTTTCACTGTATGTTTCCTGGATTGCCACGGTGTCTGTGAACACTTCATCTAGCACTTGCTCTTCTGCTTGTTTCTACCTCCAGAGCATGGCTACATCCTGCCTGTCATTCAACAAATTGCGCCTCTTTAATTGGATTGGTTGCAGTAGTTGCTAACTAATTCTCCCAGGACTACTAAAGTCCAAGATAATACTTTAAGCTATCTGTCTGTACTTCTTTCTTACAAAAATGTAAGCAGCTCTTACCCTAGGTATGAGGTCTAGAGTACATTGGAAGAGGGAATTCCTTGTTTCCGGCCCTGGAAGCTCATGATGCTAGAAAATATTTGTAATATTTCTGTAACCTCTTCTGTGACTCCCTCTCAGCTTTGTGCAGTTGGATATGCAAGGCAGGAAATGCAGCTGCTGAGTAAATCTCAGCCATGGTACATGAAGTCAGATACTTCCTATGGGAAGTCTGATTAACTGTAAAAATAACTGATGTTTGTTTTAAGTAAAAGCATGCATATTGCAACTGACATAGCTTTGATTTAATGCACATCTGTGGCTTCACAAGTGGTGGGCACTACAGACTGCCTTTATACCGGGGTAGATTCTGTGAAGATAACTGAGTGAAAATGGGTTAGTGGTTTGCTTTCCATTCTTTTCTGGTTTTTGTTTGTATTTATGCATGTTTGCTTGGTTTAGGTTTTTAAGCACTCTTTTGAATGTTTTTTCAGCTTGCTTTTCATGTAGGAAGGATTGAAATAATGCTTCTGTGATTCATATTTCTGTAGGTGTTACGGCAGAGCTTTAAAACTGATGCCTTTGCCTAGCATATGGTGTGATCTTGGAATAAATTATTATCGACAAGCAGAGCACCTTACAGCAGTGGGCACTGACATGAATGAGATCAGCGAACTGCTAGAGAAGTCTTTACAGGTATTGCCTGTTTTTCCTGTTACATTCTTTAAATTGGTGTGGGTACTTGTCTGCTTAGTCTCTCTGTCCTCAGTAAAACCTATGTCTCTGAGTAAGTAAGTGCATGAAGTCTTAATTTTTGCTCTTCTAGTGATTATAATCCACATTTGATTTCCTTCCAGTGTCTCAAAAAAGCTGTGAGGCTTGACAGCAAAAATCATCTTTACTGGAATGCACTTGGTGTAGTTGCTTCCTGTAGTGGTAAGTCTTCAGCGAAACCCTTAGCTCCATAATATCCTAAATTAGAAGGCAACTTAACTAAAGGTTTTTATGAAATTCAGTTAGATCTAGCTCTCCTTTTTGCTTTTTTCTCCCCCCCAGCTATTGGGAATTTTGCTCTTGCTCAACATTCGTTCATCAAATCTGTTCAAGCTGAGCAAATCGTAAGTGCTGTAGGCAGCTGCCATCTGTTTCAAGTGGGCATTTAAAACTTTTCCCCTGATACAGTGTTATTTTTGAATATAGTAATAATACATTGGTTTTAACTGTGTTTGTTCTGTCTAGAATGTTGTTGCCTGGACCAACTTGGGGGTTTTGTATCTGGCAACAGGAAACATTGAGGTAACTCTCTTTCCCATCCTCAAGTATAGTTTCCCTGTCCTTTTTTTTAAGGGAGTATATGCAGGCGGGAGTGTGGGCCAACAGCAAAGAATGTCCCTGTCAGATTCAAGAGATGTACTGCCTTTCAAAGAAATTAAATTGGCACCTGTACCTTACTTGAGGCATGCAAATGAATTTAGTATTTGTTCTGGAGGGGATAATGTTAAGTGAACTTCTGCTGAACTGGCAAGGTTGCAACTGTTTGGCAGGACTGAGAAGTGGCTAGTCAAACCACTGCACACCAGGTTTGACCAAAACTTTTAATTGTGGGTCACAAACTGAACTTTCACTTTTTGAGAAAGTAGCTAGCTGCTTTCTGCTCATCAGCAGGTTTATGGTTTACTGTAATTCTGTGTAACCTTCAGAATTTGTCTGGAGAAAAATTAGAGTACATCTTAAGAGAAATCCAGAGTTCTCATGCAGGTAAAACTACATCCTATCCTATCTGCTGGTCAGAATTACAGAAATCTTGTTTAATTGGAAATGTGATGGTCAGAATAATTTTTAATAAAAATAACTTGGTACTGCAGGCTGCTTACTGCTAATGTTAAGACTTTGTTCTGCTTGTACCACATTGAGGGAGGAACTCTAAACATGTGCAGTCCATAGCGTGAAGATGACTTGTGAGTGGTAATCAGTTTTACCATTTTGAAACTGTGTTTAACTGTTTGCATGAAGGAAACCCAAATTTCCCAAACTGGATCCTTCAAGAGTCAGATTTTTAAATATTAATTGTTCCAAGGGTTAATCTAGCTGCTAAACTGTTTTGTTGTTAGGAAAAGGAAGTATATTTGGAAAGGAGGGGAACTTTGATCTTGTAAAGATTTTTTTGATTTTTTTTTGTTTGTTTTTTTTTTTTTTAAATAAAACTAAACTGGTTTATTTCTCTGAGTAATGCATTGTTCTGTATGGCACAATGGATGTTTTTAGTAGTGATTTAATTTTGTCTATGAAATCTCTTTCCCATACTGCATGTCAATACCTGTGTGTACTCGAAAGTACTCTATTACCATGCCAGACAGTTCAATAGCCCTGTTATCTTTGGATTTACAGGAAGCTCATGAAGCCTTCAAGGTAGCCCAGTCTCTGGAGCCTTCTTACTTATTGTGTTGGATTGGGCAGGTAAGATGACAAAAAATCTTAAAACTGTGCATCAAAACCAGTTGTTAGTCTTGGACTCCATCCTGGTGACTGGCACTTAATCATGTTCCTGAAAATAATTTTTTTAAGTAAAGATAGCTGCTGCCTCCTCTGAGAGTGGATGGGACCCGTTGTTTCCATAGTGGTAATACAATGGAAGCTACTTTTGTCAGATATCTTTATATAGTCCTTTTCTGGTTCATGTGAGTTCTGTAAGAAACTACCTATTGAAAAAGCAATCACTGTTTATTCTCTGAGGCTTTTTATTGTGCATTATGAACAAAGCACCATCTTCATAAGATGGTAGTTTTTTCAGCTTCAGCTGTATAACTAGCTCATTATGTGGCACTGCTGAAATCTCTTCTCACCCCCCCTGCTTCTAATGCCACTGTTAGAAAGAGCAAGTCTCCAATATACCTGGGACAAAAGCAGTTCTTACCTCCTGGGAAGTCCCTTCCTCCCCCAACCACTGAGGGTTGGATATGCTCCGACTGGTACCTAGGCCGTCTGTGAATAGTAGAAACACTTGTGACTCATACTTTCATGATCACTATAGGTGCAGTTCATAATCCCATGCTGCTGACCTGCTAATGATATCTAATTGAAACTGGATTCTAGGGTAGAACTAGCACCATCGCATGTCAAAATTCAGCTACTGTCAGATGTTGTTACAAGTTGTGCCAACACAAAGTCTTTGTCCTGAAGAATGTAAAGTAGCAGCAGAAGACTTTTAAGTTTCGAGTACTGATACAGTGGAAACTCCTTGTGCTCCCTTTAAATGTATTCATTCTATTCCTAAAATGAATTCTTGGAGAGTATGAGGAAAAGAAAGTGTCATTATGTTAAATACTTAAGACGTGCCTGATGTAATGTGTGCTGAGTTTTTAGCCAATGTCGTAATTTTTAAAGTACCTGACCACAGTAACTCTTGCTTCTCTGTAGGCTCTTATTGCAGAAACAGTAGGCAGCTATGATACTATGGATCTCTTCAGGCACACAACTGAAATCAGTATGCATGTAAGTATAACCGTTGTATTGTACTGAAGTTTCTGCGTATCTAATCTCTCTACTTAGGTGATGTAGTTTTTAAAAAAATAGGCATGTCTTGAATGATGAAACAGTTAGGTCATGTTCCAGATAAGATTGTCTGTCTTCCATGTTCCTGGCTTGTGCTGGCACCAAATAGCTGGCAATTATTTTATTAAATGCTTTAGTCCCAATGGTCCAAGAAATCAGCTCCATAAGTCATGAAAAAACATTCTTGATGTTCCACAGAATTGGACAGAAATCAAAGGCATAAATTAAAACTATTCCAGGAGAGAGCAAGGATATTGCCAGTACCCTGAGTTCTGAGAAAGTGGAGGACTTTACATTCTCTTACAGCTTTTTTCATCTGTCATCTCTCCAGTAATGCAGCAAGTGATATGTTAATGTAAGAATTCTCCTTTCCCAGAGGACAAATTAAAACTGTGTGTGGAGTAATTCAGTTTGGTGTTTTCTTCCCCTGCTTGACACTGATGCAGATTTTTAGCCAAGACTGTGCCTTAAAAAACAGAATTGTTACTATAATCTTTAATTATTTTGCTCTTGCTTGAGCAGGTTTAATGACTTCTATTTTGGGTTTTTTTTTGTTTGTTTCTTGAGGCTGAGGGAGCCAAAGGCTATGCCCACTGGGTATGTTCAACACTGCAGGATAAAAGCAACAGAAACACTGAACTGTATCTGTACAACATTGTTCAAATGAATGCTATTCCGGCAGCCCAGGTGGTCTTGACCAAATACACAGGTAGGTAATTTAAATGCCTTACTAACGTGTCAAGGGTAGCAGATGTGTTCAGAATGAATGGATACACCTGTAATAGTTCTGGCAAAGAGTGATCTGGCTGGGTTAGGGAGAAGCTTTTGAACTGCAGAGCAAATAACCAAAACAGAATAAGTGGGCCACTGAGTTTTATTATCACACAGGGATGAAATAGATATGAGTTCTGCCTGCCTACTCATTCCAGCAGATGATGTTTCAAAGACTGATCAAAATAAGGACCAGAGCCTTGTCATGCTCAAACACCAGGTGTTTGATATCAGGCTTCCTTTGGGAGTGCGTATGCATAGGTGCAGATAGATGCTAGCTCCTCTACCTCTGTGCTTGATGTTTGGCAGAAGCCTGCTTCTGGATGCTTTGTAACTCCATGATCTGAAGCATGTGATTGTGTTAACCTTCAGTGGGAGACAGACTGTCTCCTTGGGCATATTTCCAAGCTAGTGTGGCCTGCCTGTTGGGCTAGGCTTGGGTATGTCTAGCCCAGAAAGTAGATAGAGCAAATGTGGATATTTTTTTTTTTTAATCTGCATCTATTACTGTAAATAAATCCTTTGGTGAGTAATCTGTTGCTGATTTTTTGAGAGCTACAAAATAAGGTGCAAGCACTTACAATGAGATAAGTGTGAGACTGTATTTCTTTGTGCAATCTCTGTTCTCAAACAGACTGCAGGAGAGGCCTGCATGATCCTTCCTAGTCTGGGAAAAAAGGTTAGAGTCTGAGAGGAGACGACAGCTGACAATCTGTGCTGTAGCTACTAATAAGCATTTCAAAGTTGTAGCATTAAAAATAAACCGTAAGATTCTACTAGTATTTTACTAGAGTCAATACAAGCTGAAGAGTTTCCTATTTCATTACAAAAAAACCCAAACCACTGTGTGCTGAAAAGTTTAAAATATATTGAGTGCATTAATGCTGTGTCACAAGATTTTAAACATTCGTGAGCTAACCCGATGCCATGTTGTGGGTCTTTGTATCTCTTCTGTATTTGCCTGCAGCCTGTCAAAATGATTCCAGTGAGCAACTGACAGCAGCACTTGGCAAAGTGTTTTGTATATATGCATACACTGTGGCATCAATATAGCAATGTTTTTGTAATGCTTTTTCACAGCTCTTTCTGATCATGTTCTATATTGTCAATTCTGTTTTTCTAGAAAGAAATCCAGACGATGCATCTGCTTTCACAATGCTTGGTTATTTGAATGAGTATCTGCATCTGAAAAGGCAGGCAGCAGATGCCTATGAGAGGTAAACTATACACCCTTGGAAAGTTTACTGATAGAAGCTCTTTGACCTTTTTTTCCATGCACTGGCTGAAAAACTTAAGGGCTTTTCTTTTCCTATAGTAAACCTTTCTTTCTAAGTGTACTCTAAGGGGAGGTGTGGGGATATTCTTTTAGCAAATCTGGCAACGCAGAACACGGAGGAACTAAAGGCATTCCAAGCCTTGCATGTCTTACCAGGACGTTTAGCTAATTCACTGTATAGGATTTAAGTGAAATTTTTGGGGTTGGCAAGCTTGATTTTAGATTTAGTCTCTACTCCATTCTAATTAATGAAGGTGGTTGGGCTTTGTTGTTGATTTTTTTTCTTCTCTCTTCTTTTCAAATGGTAGGGGGAGGTGGTGAAGGAAACCATGTTTGGTGAACATGTTTGCTGATGCAACGGGCTCCCCAGGGAGGTGGTGGAGTCACCATCCCTGGAGGTGTTAAAAAAATGTTTAGATGTGGTGCTTCAAGACATGGTTTAGTGGGTTTAGCGGGCATGGTGGCATCGGGTATATGGTTGGATTTGATGATCTTTGAGGTCTCTTCCAGCCAGAATGATTCTATGATTCTACGATTAAAACGGTAAAATAGGCTCTATTTGTGCTTAATTAGCATAGAAGAGCTTCTGCATAAAACGTTTGTCCATTCTACTCTGAAAACTATTGCCAAAATATGCGTGTTATAGTCAGATGGTAATTATTCTTAATTGCGGTTATTTTCAGGGCAGCTTCATTGCTGAAAAACTCTGAGGATACTGAGAAATACCATATAGCAATGCAAAACTATGGCAGGGCACTGTGGTAAGTGTTTGTTGACATATTGTCCCAGCCCCTAACTTCAGGTTTGGGTCTAGTGAATGCAGTGGTGCAAAACATGGATGAGGCTGAAAGGTGAAAGGTGGTTGCTAAAGACAATCTATTAAACATCATTCTCAACCGTAGACAAGTTTGAAAGAACTTTGTATGTGCTCCAGAAATGGGTAGCATATTTAAAAAAAAAACCCAAACTATCAAATTGCAAGGAATTGCTGTCTATCTTCACAGTTTATAACATATCAGTGATTCCCTTATCCTTAGCTAGGTACTTAAGTACCTTTAAGAGAGTTTACACAATGTAGCTTTTTTATGGTCTCCAGAATGATCTCCACAACTGAAATACGTAGTAGACTTAGTCTGAATAAAATGGTTGCTTCAACGTTTATTCAAAATCCCTTCTACCTGCCCTTTGAATTTGTATTGACTTGTGCAGCCTGAAGCTTGTGGAGTTGGGGTGTTACGTACTTGTATGCAGTCTTTCTGCTGATGACCCTCTGTGCTGCAGTCCAACTCACAATTCCAAGTTCCCGTCACAATTTCCTTCTGGTTCTGAGGGAACGCAGGACACAAGTCTTAACAGATGAAGACTTTCAAACTTCTTTTTGATATGAGATAGCTCAAACTCTGCTAATTAGGTATTTGTCAGCTCTCTAGGGAAACTTCATATATTCTTAAGTTTCTGTATGTGACACTGGAATTTCTAGACTGTGATAATGTGAGAATTCATTCTGTAACTTCAGGGAAGATTTTAGAAGCAACTCTTCAGTGTCCTGTAGTGTCACATCCAAGCTGTATGTGTGGTGATTCCTGTGTGCAACTAACACAAGAGCAAAGCTCTAGTAACTGATAATTTAGTTCTAACAAACACAGTCCTGTATAATTTCTTCTATAGTGGTCTTACAACAAGAATGCTGTATCTCTATCTGTGTGTGCACTTGCCTGTCTGTGTGCACTTCAGTTTGCTTTTTTCATGTTCCTTCTTTGCTATTTTCTCCCACTCCATTGTATTGACCGTTAAATGACATCCTTACGTATAGCTCTCATGCAGATGAGAAGGACTTTTCCTATCAATTATTCTTCATGCCACAGATAGTTGGAGAGAGTAACTGCTATAACAGAGGGAGGATGGGGAATATTGCACATTCTTTTCCAGGTGTCTGCTTACAACTGCTGTGGAAAAGAGGCTACCGGTCTGCAAGGACAGCTTATCTGAATCATAGCAGCTGTTGCTACATCCTTCATACCAGTGACTGTTTTTGTTCTTACAGTGCCCTTGGTCAGTGTGATAAGGCCCTTGAGGTTTACACATCAACACCCCTAACTGAGTTTGATGGCATTGTGGGGATAGCGTTAGCCTACTTCAAGAAAGGACTCCTACAAGAAAGTATGAAAGGTAATTCAAAACATTATGGGACACTGTAGTTCAGTTTATTTCATTCTTTCAGTCCTAATGCATAAGTACAAATTCCACAACTATTTTAATCATTAAACTGTTCATCAGGGTGCTAGAATTATTCAAATGTACAAAGGGAAGCTACATTTCAAGTGTTTAATTCTTGTCCATTAAGCTGCTGTTCTCTCAGTTTCCCTTGTTCTCAAATGAAATGGTTTTCCTGGAAAAATCAGTTTTGGGTAGGAGATTAATGTGTTCTTCAAAGCACTTTAGCTTTAGTGATAAATAGAAGTGCTGTATTGCTGCGTTCTGCACTGCTGAGATGTGAGACTTCACAAAGAGACATACTGAGTTGTCAGTGTAGAAGTGTAAGCAGTCGCAAAGGAACAGCCAACTAAGCATTTTAAATAGCCCTTAATTTTTAATTGGAGTGATGTGTGCCCATCTGAAGTACTATATCATAAACTGTCACAGGGGAGTATTTCTACTGTGTTCATTCAGGCTTTTTCTGGCTATCCAAATACTACTTTTCAGTTCTGTTTCCACTTGCTACATATTAAAAAACTCCCAGGCTCTAAACAGTCCTGTAAATCTGCTGTTTCCTAACACAGTTACTTCCAAAGTCTTAGTCAACATTTTTTGTCTTCTGCCTATGATTTGAGGTGTGAAAATATAGTGAACATGAAAACAAAGTGCCCTTGTGTGTGTGTTCTAATATCATGCCGTTCTAGAGGCTTTATAAACTTATTTTTTCCTCCTACTTCAATTCTGAGTCTTGAATTTTTGCCAGCCTATGAAAAAGCTTTGTCTGTTGCTGAGTCTGAACAAGATAAAGCACATATCCTGACTGCCTTGGCAATTATAGAGTATAAAAAGAACAAAGTGGATGCTGCGAAGACACTGCTGTTTAAATGGTGAGTGGAGGGAACAATAGTCAGTATATGATGTTTCATTGTACTGCTGAATCTTCAGATTTACTTTTTGGGGGATCTCAGATGAATATTTTCTTTCTGTGTTGTACAGTAAAAGTGGGAGTGGTGCAGTGTTCTCTTAAGCTTATTCATGTGATATATCTGTTTTGTTTTATGGCCTATGTCTTCTTCCATATTCTTAAAGCAGTATAGAGTGGAAAGATTAGTGGGCTGGGCAGTTTTGATGTCTGATATCCTTGAACAGTAGTTTTAATAGGTTTCTCTTGTAAGATTATGATATTAATCTGTAGTTGTCCTGAGCACTAGGCAATATTTTTGCTCTTTAGCTATAAGAAATCTAGATGACTGAAGAAAACAATTTCAGTTTAGATAGTCAGACATCCCCAGAACAATTGTGTTCCAAGCATCATAGACAAGGATGTTATTGTAGCTTCCTCATGAAAAGAAACAGATCTGTATCAGTTGTTCACTGAAGTCATGAATGTCTGGGTTTTTTCAGAGCTATGGAGGCTAAAAGCCTGTGCATCATTGTTAGTCTTCTGGTAGGTGGATTAAGAGCTGATATCTCAGCCTCTCAGGATCAACTCTCTGTCAA